CGGCCTGTGGTGGCTGCAGACTAACCCGCTGTCTTCTCTTGCAGTGGTTGATATCCCAGCAAGTATCCTTTTCCTGGCCGCCCGGGCGAGGAGAGCCACTGCCCGGTCACCTCGCTCCTGCCGTGAGGGCTCCCGGTAGCAGCACACCTCTGCAGAGGGTGCCTGGCCCTGGGGATGGGGATTTAACTGGTGTTTTTAATCTACTTCCGTGGTTGTGGGCCGCTTTCCTAACGTGTGTGTTCTGTAAGGGGGTTTTTTGGATGTTGGAGTGTTGCTGTGTTCCAGCCAACGTTTCATATTTACTTAACTCTGATGCTGCTAGATTCCCCAGTTTGAAGATGTTAAGTTTGAGGCAGCCAGCCTTCTGTCTGAACTGTATTGTCAGGAGGTGAGTGCTTCGGAAATTATCGGTTGTCCTGGGGCTGCAGGGCTGCATTTAATTTGAGTTTCTTTGGGATCTATGAAATTGTTAGACATCGGCTGTAGTGTAAATATTGAGTACTAAAGTATAAGCCTGAGAGACGTTTGGTCTTTCTTATTGTGAAAGTTGCTGCTGGAATTGTGATGCAGGTCTTCTGCAGCAAAGGAAGTTTACTTGGCCAAAGTATTTCTTTAGCCCTAATTTAGACAAAGACAAGCTAATTTGGGGGGGAAGGAGGGAAGTAGGTGGTTTTCCTCAAGCTTTTGTTGTATTCCTAGGCTATTTTTATTCTTTTTTTTTTTCCGGAAAAGCTTTAGCTAGTCTTTACTTTCTCGAAAGCAAACGTTTGCCTTTTCTCTCACATGCAGGAAAAAAGTGCATGTTAGAATGGTGGCCAAAGGAGTTAAACAGCCAGTACTTTTGAACAGGAGAGTGTAGGTGTGTGGGCCTACGTGTTAAATGTTTGGTTTCATTGCTTTTCATGTTTTAAGGTTCCTGATCTATGAGACTCTAATGGGGGATCCACACAGAATACAATTAGTTTAAAAGTTATTGTTAGTGATGGAGTTCCCAGTAGCCTGTTTTTTACGCTGACTGGGGTGCATGTTTCTGTTTCAGAATTCAGTGGATACAGCAAAACCTCTGTTACGCAAAGCCATTCAGATTTCACAGCAGACTCCGTACTGGCACTGCAGATTGCTTTTTCAACTTGCAGTAAGTGATTTATATTGATGGCCATGTTACTGTAGCACTGCAGCTGGGAAAATTGCTAGAAAATATCTGTATTCCTCTTAAAAAGAGTTTGGGATGCCTTTCCTCCCCCAATCAATGCTGCTAACGGAGAGACAAAAGAAGAAAAGTTTGTGCTATAAAGTAATAATACGTTGGTAGTCTATGGATTGGATCAAGACCCATTTTTTAGGGAAGAAGGCAGCAAGGATCATTATGTAGGCTCTAGTAACACACAACTTCACAGACAGAGCAAAATAAAATGCACCTTATGGCTTGCAGTAAGGGTAAATGCTCTCATAAAGCCTGCTGGAATTGGAGCTTGCCAACCTGAAGTTTTCGTTTGATTATTTTCAACCTAATTAGCACGCAGAGCAGATCCGGGATGGGAAAAGCATTTGGTGCAAAGGCCTCCGAGCAATGTTACTCTTCCTGTTCTGTAATATGCTCTAAGTGTGGCTTCAGCTGTACAGGTCAGACCGTCTTTGCTTCTAGGAAGAAACCGGTGTGTGTTGGAGTTTAAAGTGTTTAATGTTTGTTACAGACTTCAGCTGTGTAACTGCTCTTAAAGTGCTGATTTTCCTGAGTGACTGAATGCATTATGCCAGGGAGTGTATCCAAAAAGTTAACTGATCAGTGGGAAGAGCAGATTATTGCTGAAGAACTCCCCCAATTTTTCCAGGTTATGCCTGTTCTGTGCTCCTGAAGAGCCTCGAGGTGTTTAATGCGAGAGTTGAGGGAGTTAATTGCTCTTTACAGGTGTTCTGCAGCAGAGAGCTAGTTAGGAAGCAATTTTATCTTTGAAGACTGTTTTAATAGTCACCTGTACTTGTCTTTTCCCTTGGCATGATGAGTTTAAACAAGCAGACCAGCTTCCTTTAAAAGGAATTGCCAAGCTCCTTTGTGTAGTTTAGGAACAGTGAATCGTGGAGAGCCTTACTTTCCTATCGATTAAAGGACAAATGTTTACTTTGCAATGAGTTAATGCCCGAGTACTCAGAAGCAGCTTAAGTGTTTTCTTGGTGCCTCCCTGTGAAGAGGATCCTTCCTTGAAGCTTGACATTCTTTGCTGATTTCTCTTCTGTGTGGTGTTTCCTTTCTGGCTTTTGCTTGACCAAACGCTTGTGTGTCTCATTGCCTTTGTGCCTGTTCTTGTGTGTCTGTGTGGCTTTCAACCTGAGTTTGGAGAAGGTACAAATTTGGCAGGTGGGAGGGAGTGAGAGGTGCTCTGGCAGCTGCATTATCCTCTCCCTGTCACCTGAAACACACCCTGCAGGCTTTCTCTGCTCTTCTTGCTAGAAAACACGCTCTCTTGTTCAGTTGCTCCAGTGTAACGGTCCACAGGTATATTGGAGCTGTTGGGATCTGATCTGCACGTGATCTTAATGAATTATAACAGCTTTGCATGGTATGAAACTGGGCTGAGACATTTTCTTTGAAATGTTACAGATTTTTTTTGGAGAATGCCAGGTGTTCCTGGAAAATGAGTCTAAAATCAGATGATACATTTAACAAGTACCAGTTTAGCACTTCTCACGTGTAAAGCACAGGAGTAATTACATTTTTAAAAACTGCTAATCGAGTTCACAAAGAAAATGCTGATCTCTTACGGCCTTTTTTTCTTTTCAGCAACTACATACACTTGAAAAAGACTTAGTATCAGCATGTGACCTTCTCGGAGTTGGAGCAGAATATGCTCGGGTGGTAGGATCAGAGTACACCAGGTGAGTTCCCTGGGCTTTTTTCCCTTCCCACAGAAGGTATTTTGGTTTGCTCTGCTTTTTACTTAGAGGCTCTACTTTTACTTAAAGATGTGGTCTGTGATTGCTACGTGGGTTTTAAAGGCAAACCAGTATTTCTGCATGTTCTCTTAGATCTGAGTTTCTCCAGCTCTTCCTTTTTCTGTTAGAACCAATAATATTCACTGAGAATCTGGAGAGACTTTCTTCAAAATGAGGTTTATTGATTGACTTTATCAGCACGTTTTCCCAGTGGCTTGTTTTGACATTACAAACTGTTGTGTCTGGAATTGTCCAAAACTTAGATACAAACCTGAGGGACTGGGATTTTCATTCTGGGGGCTACGATTGAATGGTTCCATCTAGCTTTTAAACGTGCTTTACTGTGGCAGGTTCCTTAATAGTGTTTTGTCTATTGTTTTTGAGGAGGAGAATAGCAGATTTTTCTTTCCTCAGGGTTTTCATATGCAGTTGTGGTTTGGATAGCTTTTTTATTTTGAGTGTGACATTATTTTGTTTCATTTCAGAGCACTGTTTCTGCTAAGCAAGGGGATGGTAAGTTGGATGTAATATTTAATAAACTCTTTCCTTGTTTAACTAGTATAATGCGAGTTACAGAGCAATAAAATGTAACCTGCCTTGAACATAAGTTCCTTGTTTTAAGGTATTTTGCATGCCTGCCTGTGCTTTATGTATATCGTTTTGTTCATGTGAGCAAGCGCTGTGTTAAAGCAGACCTGGGATAAGCCTTAGGTCTGCTGGATTCTTGTGAAATTCTTGTGAATAGGTTTGGCTTTTTGTCTCCTTTATTAATTATGACAAATAATTTTCTGGAAGGAAAAAAGGATAACTGCAAATTGTTGCTGGAGCCCTTGTAATTAGGGATGAAAAATCTGGTTATGTGAAATGGGTGGTGCTCTTGCAATAGGATATCTTTTGAGTCTGGTTTTGGTTTAAATAGATCAATGCACCTGGGGCTCTACTGTTGTTCTCTGAGTGTTTAAATTGTGCAGTACAAAAGTAATGCGTTTTTATTTAAAATTGCAGCTCCTTCTAATGGAACGAAAGCTGCAGGAGGTGCACCCTCTCCTTACTCTTTGCGGACAGATAGTTGAAAACTGGCAAGGAAACCCCATCCAGAAAGAATCGTTACGCGTATTCTTCTTAGTCCTGCAGGTCACGCATTACCTGGATGCTGGGCAGGTATGTGCGAGTTCTACTTCTTATAGTTCCCATATTGTGAGAACTGGGGAAAAAGAGTACTGCCTCAAAGTAGCTAATTATTACACTGAGATGATTTGGGGGGGATTTTTTTTTTTGCTGCGCCATGCTTTTTATTAATGAAATTTAATTTCTATAGAAATTAATCAGAAATGAAATGAGGAGTGAAGAAATTAAATTCATTTCTTCTTCCCCAAGGAAGGGTTTACTGTGGTATTCTTATAACCACGGTGGCCACTCTTGCTTCTGTATAATGTTGGTGGAGATAACAGGCTTTACGTATAATTTTGAAAAACATTTTGGGCATCTGTTGGTCGTATGTGCAAATATGAAGGGCTGATTGTTGTTAGTCAGAACGGGCCTAAAGTCGTCACTGCTAGTGTTGTGCTTTATGCATGAAGTAATTTCCTGAATGTGGGTATTATTTATTGCCTGGCAAGTTTTCCCAGCTAAGTAAATGTTCAAGCATCTGGGCTGCAGCAGCTCTGTGTGATGTGAATCATCTTTCGCAGGTGAAAAGTGTGAAGCCATGCCTGAAACAGCTTCAGCAGTGCATCCAGACCATATCCACGCTGCACGATGATGAAATTCTGCCCAGCAACCCTGCTGATCTCTTTCACTGGCTGCCCAAGGAACACATGTGTGTGCTTGTCTACTTGGTGAGAAGCTCTTCTCTTTTTTCTTTTCTTTTTTTTTTTTTTACTTAATGTATATTGCTAATTAATGAGGAATTGGTTAAAAATTGCTTGGAGCCAGCAGCGGTAGATTCTGCAGACCATATGCTGCTTTACGTTACGCTGACAGTTTAATTCTGCCACAGCATCTGTGAGACTATTGCTTTCAGTGATGTCAGTGTTTGAAGAGACTGTGCAAGAAGTCTGGAAACTGGAATGTAACTTTATTAATATCCAAGCCACATAGAATCAAATAAACTCATATGAAGTAGAGCTACTTAAGTTTATTTTTTACCAACGGAGCGACAATCTTGACTTCAAATTCCTGAAACTAGTTGCCCTGCTTCTTGAATATGATTATACTCCTGAATGATGTCAAAATTGACCTTAAAAAGCTGTTAGCTGAGGAGTCTTGTGAACTCCCAGCCCTTTCCTCTTTGCAAAGGTAACTTTTTGTAATCTTTCCTCTGTTTTCTGGCAGGTGACAGTGATGCATTCCATGCAGGCAGGTTACCTGGAGAAGGCTCAGAAGTACACAGACAAAGCACTCATGCAGCTAGAGAAGCTAAAAAGTAAGGATAAGGATTATCATTTAGTTGATGCTGCAAGATTCCTTGCTAATGTGAATTAAAAATACAAACCAAAACCACAGCAACCTTATTTGGCTCACTGGGACAGCCTGCTGTCAGTCTGTTTCTGCTGCGTTTAAGAACTGTGCTCTGTTTTAAAACTGGATAGTTACTTGGAATACAGAAATCAAGTTTTGGGGGGTTTTATTGTAACTCAGTAGATAGGGCTGTAAATACATGCATTTTCATGCTGTCTTTCTGATTGTCCGCGTATTTGGTTATCCACGCTTCTGATTTTCTAAGATGAGCGTGTGTTCCCAAGGAGTTTTGCCCTAACTGGTGCTCAGACTCCTGCTCCTGACAGTTCAGGCATCGTGGATTTAGGGTGTTTTGGGAGGTTTGTTGGGTTTTTTTTTAAACCTGTGCCATCCTTGCTGCATTATGTGGAAGAGGCACTGGGCAGTACGCTGACTCTTCTGACACGAGGTGGTCCAGCCAAAGCCATCGTTCCTTAGATTTCCATAAAGGAATCTTTGTGTTGAAGTCTTGGATGTTAATTTTGTCCTAACTTCACTTACCGAATTACCTTTGTTCACTTTTCAGTGTTGGACTGCAGTCCTATCTTGTCATCTTTCCAAGTTATTTTGTTGGAACACATTATCATGTGTCGGCTTGTCACGGGGCACAAAGCCACAGCATTGCAGGAGGTAAAAACGGGGTTTCATCATTTCCCTAGCTGTGGGTGTATGCAGTGGTAGCTTTTAAAACACGGGAATTTTGGTTTTGAGGAAGATATTTGGGCTCAGATGGGGATTTCAGCAGTGCTAAACTACTAACAGGTAAAGTCAGGCCTAAAGGTACTCAGAATGCTGCAAGTTGTGGAATTAGCCTCCTCTTAAATATTTTATTTAAGAACACTTTGGAGTGGCTCGTGGAGGGAACAGTGATTGATCAGTGACTACAACTGACATGTCCCTGATTGTACTTTGCAGTCTGATTCAGTGCCTTTTCTTTTTCCCTCAGATTCATGACAGAGCGGCTCTTAACTCTTCCTCTTAGTGATCCTGTCTTGTCCAAGTGTTTCTCAGTTTTTAAGGTTCCCTGCCTTTCTGTCCTTTCTTCCTCTTAACATAGTTTGGGGGTAAGAGGAGGACAGTGCTCTCAAATGGCAGAAAGAACTGTGCTTTTTTTCTGTTCTTGCAGTCATTTATAATTGCTGTTCATCCATCCCTTATTTATAGGACGTGCTGCTGTATCATCTCAACCTCTGCTGTCAGCCTTCTCGTGAATGTACTCGGGGGGTGGGGGGAAAATTTAGCCTGCTAAAAGAATAGTCATTGGTTCTGGCTCATAAAAACTCCTCGTGAGCACGTACCCCGTGGAAGATTTGGATTCCAGTTTTTTTTCTGTTGCGTGCCAACTCAAATTCTGCGCGTGTCAGAAGAGATCTGTGCTTTGGTTTGCAGGTGGTGCCACCATATGGTGGAGCTGCTGCAAAGCAAATAATTCAAAACCAGTTTGAGCGTGCGTCTGTGTGGGAGGAGTGTGTGTGGAGCAGCGCGTGTACCTTGGCTTGAGGCAAGTCTGGCCTCCGCTTTTACCTAGGAGCATGACTTAGGATTCTTGAACAAATCACTGAAACGTACTGAATGACGTGTGTGATGCAAGTACATGGATTTAGAGCATAAAAATGGGGAAAAAGTATCTTAAAATACAATTTTATTTTTTTCTAACAGATTTCACAAGTCTGTCAGCTCTGCCAGCAGTCTCCCAGACTGTTTTCTAATCATGCTGCCCAGCTGCACACTCTATTAGTAAGTGTCTGTGATTACTACTAAACTTTTGACTCTTTGGAAGACCCTACTCAAGGTTCATACTGAATGGTCACCAGTAACTAATGAGAACGTAGTGAGGCAGACATCCTGCTGAGTAATGGGGTCTGCTTTATCGATTGCCAGTCCTGCTGTGGGGACTCACACCCAGTGTTATTTCAGGTTCTCAAAGGCTTAAATCCCTTCTTTTAAAATAAGTGATGTGTAGCATGATAGTTGGTAAATACACAAGATTTACACTGCCCACGTTTGAGACAGTATGTGGTGGGAACTGCATAAGGGCAAGAGTTTATGTAGCATTGCTATTTGAGTATTATAAGAAATTACAAGGGGGTTTTTTTAGATAGATGGAGTGTATTTTACCGGACCATGCCGTTTTGAAGGACTTTGTGTAGAAATTGCTTATTTTTTCCAGAGCCAAGCAAAACTAAGACTCGCTGGTTACCTTTTTTCCTGTTAATATCCTGAGATTTCTGTGGTTTTGTGCCTGCCTTCTCGGCTTGCTAGAATTGTATTATGTGTTACCTTAGAAATTCCCTGTCTTCTACAGGGGCTCTACTGCATTTCTGTTAATTGCATGGACAACGCAGAAGCACAATTTACTACAGCACTGAGGGTAAGATTTTCTTCCCAAACTGTTTACTGTGGATGTTCAGTGTGGAAACGGGCTTGTTGCAGTCGTTGTGTGGGTCGCTGTACAGTTGAGGCTGGAAGTGAAATCTGGAGAGATCGCCTGTGTTAGTTGCATTAGTTCATTTTTTTTTTTTTTCTATGCTGATTGCAATTCATGTTGTGAGGATTTGTTAATGGCAAAATATCAGACACCAAATCTGTGATTTTATATGAGGTGAGCAAATTCTGGGTTAGAGGCTGAAGTATTTGACTGTGCTGTTGGTATCTTGTTTATTTTAGCTCACTACACATCAAGAACTGTGGGCATTTATTGTGACAAACTTAGCCAGTGTCTATATCAGGGAGGGCAACCGACATCAAGAGGTAAGCTGGTTTCTGATTGTTTTTATAAAAGTCTGAACTTTATTAGAGAGAAAATTGTTACCGTGCTTGGGTTATTCTTTTTTCTGAGCTTTTTTTGCAAAGCGAATGCCTTGTCTGGCAGCCAGGCAACTCCTCTGTCAGGGCAAACCACCGAAGCAGAGCGTTCTGGATCGTACACAGAATTTTCTACGGTGCTGGGAGGGCAAGCTTCCTGGTGTGAAGTGTATGGTTAACTTTGCCATCTTGACTCATTCAACCTGTTTGCTTCAGTTTCCATCTGCTTAGGTAGGAGTTTTATTAGATTACATAAAAGCTAGCAAGGTTTAACTAAACATCCAGAAATAAGTATGTGCACATGTGTGTTCATTTTGCTTCAAAATCCAGCTGTGTGCACTCCTCCAGGGACGTGTCTGTTCCCTGTGCAGTAACTTTTCAGAGTCGTGCTTGCAGGTTTCTTGTGAAGAGGCTGTAAATGAACTGTGTGTAAAGTGTGCAGTACTTTATTAACAAGCTTAAGAGAGCAAAAATAATAATTAAAAAAGTTGACCCTTTTTTTACTTAGTTGATTTCTCAATTAAATAGCAAATCTGATAACAGCATTCATTTGGGTCTTCAACAGCTTGGTTTGATGCGACAACTAAAAGTTTTCTGGGAAATACTAACGTTGTACAGAAAGTTCAGTAAAGCCTGAGAGAGCATATTTTGCACAAAACTTGATTTTAGGATCAAAACGGACGTGGTAACTCCTAACGTTGGGACGTTTGTGCTATGATCTGACCAGTACAAGTAAACTTTAGTGTGTTTGTGGTGACTTGCACCACTTTGATATGATGTGCACTTCCTGTAAAAACCCTTGCTGTCAGTACTGTCAGCCTGTATATGTGAGAAATGCTGATTTTCTTTCTTTTCCCCTCCCACTTTGTAGCTTTACAGCTTATTGGAAAGGATAAATCCAGACCATAATTTCCCTGTGAGGTGAGAATTCCAGAAACTATCTACATGCTGATGTTGCATTGGTAATGGTAATACTGGTTTTGTAGCAGCCTTTTTTTTTAAAAAAAAAGAAAACAAAATAGTCAACTTCTTTTCACGGCAGAAGTTCTGACCACGCATTAAATATAATGGTTTTGTTTGGAAGTTTTATTATGAGGCAAATTCCTAAAAATCTGTCTGTAATGCATGTCACCGCTGCACGGTGCCTAGATTTCAATGCCTTGCTTTCTCCGTAGCTCTCACTGTCTTCGAGCAGCAGCTTTCTACATCCGAGGTCTGTTTTCCTTCTTTCAAGGAAGATACAACGAGGCCAAGTGAGTATAAATCGATGCAACTGGGGGAAAAGGCAAAACTAAATGAAGCTGTTTTAAGAAAAAAATGAAAACCTCGAGGCCTTGCTTTCAAACCTGCTAGCTCTTTTCCCTCTGGATTTAGTCAATCTTCTGGTTTACTTAGAGGAAAATACCAGGAAGCTGTTGGGTTTTAGATCTCTTTTGTTCTGAATGCTAATAATAATAATGCTCGTGCAGTGGCACATCTGGAACAAAAGCTTTTCACAGGAGGACCTCTCTTATAGTCATTTTTGCTAAATGAAAGGTGAAGTTTGGGAATTAAGCGCTTTGTTTAAGGTCACTCACAGCACACATTTACTCCCGAGCGCTAATATTTGCCAGTTGGATGAATTCAGTTCTTAATGATGTTTCTTACGTACTGGAGGGAAAGTAGAGTTTTTAAAACACTTTATTTTTGCTCTGTTTTGGTAGACGATTTTTGCGGGAGACGCTGAAAATGTCAAATGCAGAAGACTTGAATCGATTAACAGCGTGTTCTCTTGTACTCCTGGGTCATATATTCTATGTGTTAGGGAATCACAGGGTAAGCCTTTGCCGTCTCTGCTATTGCCATGTAAATGTTTGACTTGTCATTTGCCAAAGAAAATCGGGACATTTGTGAAACTTTATTTTAAGAATGCTTGTTTATTGGTATCCTGCTAAAAGTTGGCAGCTTATTGACTTAGAGAAATCTGTAGCTGTAATTTGCATGTTTAATAACACTTTAACAAAGTAGTAGCGTTTGAAGGCTGTTCCAGAAGTGTGTGTTTTGATAATGCCTGAAATCACTTGAAAAAAGGAGCTGAATAAAAGACAAATAACATCATTCACCTGGATTGTTTTGGAGGGAATTGTGGGTACAAGCTCCTTAATTCTCACCATATGCCAGAATGCATGAAGTATGTCTGTTACCATGCACAACATAGACACTGTAATTCCTAGGACAGAGTAAAATTCCAGACAGCTTTAGATATGATGCATTTGCGTTATTGTCCCATTAAGCGCTTCCACTTCTTACCTAGAACATGGCAATTAGACACATATTTTTGTCACAAATGTAACGTCTCTAATGTGTATTCACAAGGGCGAAAAAATAGCCATTTTATGTTGATATCTGCTCTTCACCAGGAAAGTAATAATATGGTAGTACCAGCCATGCAGCTTGCAAGCAAGATACCAGATATGTCTGTGCAGCTGTGGTCTTCAGCTCTGTTGAGAGGTAAGTTAGGAAAAAGGTCTTGTACTTTGAAAAAAAAAAAAAGTGGCAAAGAGCTCATTGCTACTAACCGGGGATCAAGTATGGGGGGTGTATGCCAATGCCAGCGCTCGCCGAGAGGCTGCCTGGGTTTACCAAACACCAGTAGAAGTTCTTCTAGTTATTGATTGTCAGCATCCTGTTTGGCTGCAGCTGGCACTGCTGTCAGATACTCCAGCTGGGATTTTGGGGGAGGCTGGAAGATACGTGGGGTGAGCAGGCCCTGCAGAGCTCCAGCATCCCCGCGCGACTGTGCGAGGCAGCAGTCGGGTTTCTGCTGCCGAGGCTGGATGGCAGTTTGATACGAACGGCTGAACTGGTGACTGCTTGGAAAGGGCCCCAGTTTGCACCCCTGTAGCATCTATGCTGCTGCTGCTCTGCTTTTCTTTTGACTCTAGTTCCATTTGTAGTAAACATTTGATTAAGTTTCACTTAGGCTTTGCTTCTGGTGTGGGCTTTAATAAATATAAGATCCTATTATATCACTTCATACATAAATATTGTTTAATCTGACTTACACAGGCCCCAGGATGCTTTGTTCAAATATTGACTAGCTGCTTGGCAGACTATCAACATTATGCTGCAATTGATTTGCTCTCACTAGAAAATAAAGCAGTAACTCTACCCTTTTTCCAAGAACTTACCCCGCAGCTTCAATTTCTATTAAATTGTCATGTTTACTACAAGCACGGCGCTCTGCGTTGAGCACTGTGGGCCAGGCTTATTTTCTGCTTTGCTGTTGCCTTTGCTACAAAACCACTTCCAGGCAATTGAAATAATTCTCTTATTCATTTCCAAGTGGTAGTTCATATACAAAACATGTCGATAGTACAATGATGAATCTGCTGTAGGTGAAACCACCCTGTGTTCTGCCACTGTTGCCTCTGGTTGTACCCACAAGCCCGGGAAGAGCGAGAGGCACCATTTCTGTTCTGCTTTTTGGTTTTTTTTCCCCAAAGAGTTTCCTCTGTAGAACTAATTACCTGCTCTTGAAGAAAAGGTGCTTGATGAGGAATAACAAAACACAAACCACAGTGTCTCAGCCCCTGCCACACTGTGCTGCTTATAATTTTTAGCTGGAATTGTGATTCTTAGTAGGTTACCAGTCTTAAATCTTAATACCTGTGAGTAGACCTTGCAGAAAACGGACGCTAGGATCAGCTCACAGCATGTGTGAAGCAGCAGGCTTCTCTGGTCCCCCAAAAGCAAGGATTCACCAAAGAAAATGTGGCTTGCCCTCTGAAACCTGTGTTGCTGAATTGTGGAGCTGCAGTGAGAAACTGGCCAGCCTTTCCTGTTCCCACTAGATGGTGCTGGAAACTAAAAACCCAAACGCAGACTGCATAGGGGCTTTCATTGGAGTGAAGAGTTTGCTTCCTCCTTTTAGAGCTACTGTAATAGTTGGAAACTAAAATAATGCTAAATCCTGCAATACGCGCTGCCTGCACTGTTGGAAAAGGGAAGGTTTTCAGGTTCCTCATACGGCCCAGATTCTGAAATGAAACATGAAATGTTTTCATTTTGGTATATTGGCTCTTTAAATGATTCAGTTGTCAACTACAGGGAACAGTCTTTGCAGATAAGACAGCTGGTCAGTTGAAAATAAGTACGGAAAGTGTTTGTTGGTGAGCACATGACACTCTCTGACTTTCAGACCTGAACAAAGCCTGTGGAAACGCCATGGATGCACATGAGGCAGCACAGATGCATCAAAACTTCTCACAACAGCTCCTCCAGGACCACATTGAAGCATGCAGTCTTCCAGAACACAATCTAATCACGGTAAGCAATTTTCCATCTTGCAGTTACGAGCGTTTTTGAGGCAAAACAATGTGGTTTGCCTTTCCTTTACTATTTCTTTCTTCTTGCTGAGCATACTTCTCAGTAAATTGCCAAAATTCAGTCTACTTCCTAATATTTAAACTGGACTGATAACAGGAAAAAGAAGTGTGACTCGATTAGTTAATTTTTGTAAAGCTTATTTGATGGGTATGGTCTTTTGTTTCTTCGAAGTGTTTTCTTGGTACACCAGAACTGAAATTTTTAAAAAATGGCTTTTGTAGCAGGTAGCCACTTCATTTCGTTGACAGCTATTGCTTTTGAAAGAAACCTACTGTGTTTTCAGGTTTAATGTTAATGTTTTGGTCATCCAGCCTGCCTTGTTCTAGGGAATGCTTTGTCATACGCTGCTAAAAGTACGGTTTCTACTGATACTTTAGTGTTCCTAAGTTGGTTTTTTTACTTAACTATAAATCTAAATTTCCAGTTAATATACCATTTGATATCTGCATAGCCATTGCCTTAAGGTGTAACTTTCTTTGAACTTCAAATATTGATGTCCTTCCTGTCAGAAACACTTTTAAAGCTGTTTTAAAAATACAGGAAGGTTTTCGAAGCTGCAGCTCAGCAAAGGCATAAAATAATTTACTGTTCTGGACCGAGATAATGTCCAAATGGGAATGCGATTATGTGTGGAACTTGACATCTTTTCCCAAGGTTCCCTTTTGGGGAGAAGAAAGTGGGGGGAAAGGCCAATAGGAAGATGCTATTTGCTGGCTTTACTTGCAAAGGGATCCTGAGACTTGTGGGAATGAAAGTGTTTGCGACGCAGCCTGTGTTGAGACCCCCGCAGTCAGGTGCCCATCTCCATCCATGAGTGAGCCAGTGCTTCCACCTCCCCTGTCTTTGCTTGCCATTGCTGGCTTCTGCATAGTCTATGCTGGATTAAAAATCTGAAGGGGGGAATAGGATTAAGAAACAAATACTAAATCTGCCCGGTTTAGAATTTTACTTGGAGAGGAAAATATTTTTGTAATGAAGTAGGTGAGAACCAGAAGCTTTACTTGCTCTGGAAATGCTATGGCTGCAGCGCTTAATGGGCTCAAACGCATCTAAAGTCAGGTCCCTCGTTTGTGCGAGTTGTGGTTTCCCATGTGTGGACGGTCAGCCGTTTGAGCAGGAAATGCTTTCCCTTGATCGCCATCCACCCTGGCACGGGAGTCAGGTTTGGAATCACGGGCTTCAAAAGAAATACTGTTCAAGGGATGGGAGCTCCACGCATGTAGACCAAAGTCAAACCTGATATGCAACTTCTCATGATGAAATCTTTAATTATCTCGAGGTAGCGAACGTCTGTATGGCGAGCTCCTTCCTCCGGCCTTGCTGCCATTCCTCCATTCCTCCCCTCCCCAGGCAGCGGCTGTAGGATTTTCATGCTGTTTGTTATCTTGCAGTGGACAGATGGACCACCTCCTGTACAGTTCCAGGCACAGAACGGACCCACCACCAGCCTGGCCAGTCTCCTGTGAAACAGAGTAACTATCAGGACAGTGTGTTTAAAAAGAAAAAAGAAAAAAAAAAGAAAGAAAAAAAAGCCAAAAAAGGAGAAAAAATTCATGCAAAATCTTTTCTTCAAAGAAAAGGCAGCAAATTCCTCTTCTAGTGAGGGCCTTGTAGGAAACAGATTGCATAAAGACAACGTACATTTCATCGACTTGCAAAGTGAGAAGGGCATTTTAAGCTGCTTTTACATAATGTGTGTGAATATACAGCTAGTGTGTATATACCTACTGGTTTTAATCTGCTTTCCTCTTACTGAGAATTAAGGTTTAGTCCAAAGGCGGCTTGTTCCTTAAATTGTTAGATACCTACTTTTTAAAAATCGTCACAGGAAATGAAGAGGACTCGCACAGTTTTGAATACCAGTTGTATTCCAAATACTTAAAGCTTCCCCGGAGTATGATGCATGCCAGTTTTAATGTTTTCTGCGCCCTTCCACTCCTGGGAATAATTGGATTAAATCATGATTGATTGTAGGGTGCCCTATAAAGTTCTAAATTTAGTTTCGAAGGTAATATTCTTTCCTTCTCATTGTGTGCAAGTCGTTGCCAGTGCTGTTTGTAGCCTTGCAGTGAAGGTAAGGATGAGATCAGCGAGATCGGAGTTCTGCCGGGCAGGGTGTTTGCAGCCAGAGGGGTGCGTTAGCGTCCTTGGGGTGGCCTCCGGGCTGAGCGGAGCGGGCTTGTGCTGTTCTCGGAGGAGCAGGTTCCACCTCCTGGATCCCCGAGTGTGCGATGATGTGCCACCGCTTCATCCCGACGAGGGTCGGCTTCTGTCTCCCTGCGCTGATGGTCAGTCCCGCACGGGGTAAGGCAGGATCACAGCTCTCTCCATCTCTGCTACTTTGACGGAAGGAGGAAAGTTCTTGTCCTCCTGTCAGTCCAAGCAACTGGGAAACGGCGTTTTGCATCTTTACTGCAGCCTCACCAAGGGAAGGCAGCATCTGTGCCTTAATGATTTTTACAAGTGATTGAAGTCAGAGTTAAACCCCAGATCCAATATAAGCCAAAGGCTTATCATAAAAACTAAACTGTAGTCTTGCCCTTGGCAAAAACATAACGTTTCCAAACTTTTCTGTGTTAGCTTTCCTGTTCTCTGTCAGTTTTTTGAATTCTTCGGCTGTGAATTCTCACTGCGTTTGCCTGTGCCTCTGCCGCTGTCTCAGAACAGGAGAGACGAGGCCCAAGTTTGTTCTGCAGAAAACAGTATGGGAGTTGTTAATTCCGCGAAGCGTCAGCAGCTTTATAGCGAGGATCTGTGCCAGTCCGTCGTAGTGCCATGTACAGCTTGCGAGGTTCATGGGGTTGAATAAAGGTGTTTTTCTCTCTTGGTAGCTCTGCATATTTATCTCCCAACTTAAAAGGGGGAGGGAAAAGGAATCTGCCAGAAAAATTCCTTCGGTAGGGCTTTCTGTGATTGCTTCTCTTTCTGAGGGAGGAGGAGAATATTTTAGAGGAAATATTTGACGCCCTCAGACCTTTAGAACTTTTATTGTAGAAGTAATACTGTGAAGTGTGTCTTCAGCGGTCATTCTTTTCCAGTCTTATCCCCTCTCTAGCAACAGCTCACAGGGACACTTGCTTTTCATAATTCAAACCCCTCGGTTGTTACCACTGGATGATATTAAGGGGACAAGTGCTTGTCCGATTACCAAAATAGGATTTTACGTTTCCTCTCCTGGACATGCGGTGCTGATTTAGATCTTGTTCGCAGACGTTCACTCTTGCAGAAGCCATGTAGATTTTAGGTTTCCAATAGGGAAAGCATGGCTCGATATCGGTATAGGGAGAGAATCTTATTACTGGGTTTGCAAGAAAAAAAAAGTTTGGTGCTGTTTAAAATCTCCCTTAGAATTCAAAAAATAGGAAAGAAATCTCTGAGGTCTGTTAGCGTACAGGGTTCTCGGAGGTACCAAATACAGGGAGAATCCACGCAGGCAGAATCTGTTCTGCATTGCTCGTTGAGATAGCGTTCTGTGTCTGCACCCGGCTCTTGCAGTCTCCTGTCCCCTCCGACCGCTGCGGCATTCCCATGGAGGCTGCCAGGCCAACGGCACCGGGAGCCCGGCTCCATGCCGGCGCCTTGGTGGCAGCGCAAGAGGAGATGGGTTCGTGCTCGCTCCACTGCTGGTCTGGGACAGTTGGCTGTGCCACAGGCATCTGTTAGAGACAGGACAACTTTGTAGGCTGAACAGCCAGCGCGTGCTGGCATCTTGATCAGGAATGGTCAGGTAAATCCTACCTTGGGAATACTGATACCCTGTGGACTATTTTTAAGTTTTTCCCCTTTTTTTTTTTTTTTCGTGCAAAGGAAGCAGCATCTCTCTTTGGCTGTTCCCTCCATAAGTCACGGACTTGCAAGAACTCAGTACCTGTTTTTAAGCACCGAAGTGCAATGGCTGTTTTCTTGGCAGTGCTCTCGGCACTCCTACCTGAAAAAGATGTAGTTTAAAATCTACTCGAGCCCCATTTGGGTAATCCAGGTGTTCTCTTTTTTTGTCTTCTGTCATCCAATCTGAGGCTGTTACTTAACTGATCACATGCCCGTGGCTACTATAATAAATTACGTGTTGGCCAAAATAAAGCGCTGCTTCTATAAGGCAATATTAAAAAATCCCAACTCTAGAGAGCTGCGGTTCGGGCTGAGTTTAAGAAAAGCATTTTGCAGCAAGCGAGATGTCCACCAGTGCTGGTTCAGGTAGCTGCATCTCCTGACTTTTATCTTTTGGAGATGCGCAGCGCTCGACTTTGCATTACGGGAGAGTGCTTTGCAGCGGCAATTTTCTGGCTTCTCGTCATGTCGGTACTTTGTGTGCGAACCGGGCGGCTTTGTAGTTCAAATCCCTTGTCGGTCTGTTCTCGGGAGGGAAGGAAGTACTTGAGGGAAAGGCTGCCTGCTTGCTTCTGATGTAAGTGCGCTCAGGTTTGAACAGGAACCATTTGCTAAATGTGGTAGCCGAACTTGTTCCTCCTGACGTTCCAACCTGGGATTTCCCCGTCTGTGAGAAACCAGCTTCACCTGGGCTTTGCTTTTGTGCAAATCAGCACTCCGCCGTGCTCACCCACAGTCCCGCAGAGCCCAGAACTCTGCTCCGTTACCAGAGTCCTCTTCCCATCGCGGAATTTCAAAAATCATGTAAATTTGAAAATAACTCGGTGATTTTTCTATCTCTGAAATTCAATGTACATTTGTTACAATGTACAGTGCTTTTTAACTACACTTGTATATTAAATTATTTAATAGTTTTTGCTTTTCAGTATCTTTTGTATGTAGCAGAGATTAAAACAAGGACCTCATAACTGAAGTTCTTCCTAATTTTTGAGTGCGTATGTAAAGTTGAACAGAAAACTAGAAGTTTACAGTTTACAAATAATGTTAAGTGCTTGGTCTGTCTAACTCGATTTGAACAACATATTTCTAATCTTTCTTGTCCGATCATTCTCTATAGAAACGAACATGAAGTCTTTTATGAACTTCTAAAAAAATTATTCTTCTAAAGATGTAATTTAGAGAACTGTACAGTTTTTTTCTCTAGTATTTTTAAATGAGTAGCGAGAACTTACACAGAAGCATCTAATCACTGTTTTGTAGATAGTGTAAAAACTTATATATGTATAGAGAAGGCAGTCTGAAGAAGTGTTTGCCTGTTGTATTTCATTTCCTACAGTACGAACATCAGAAAGGCCCATGTACACAGGAAGTCTAGATTTGGCAGCTGGGGAATTAAAAAAAAAATATAAAAAAATAAAAGTCATGGACTTCATCCCCCATCATCCCATATGTGCACTCACTGTGACACCACAAGTAAACATTGACCTTGATAAAATGTTAGGACACGTGGAGTTCAGTGCAACTTCACTGCTTTAATTTTATTTGGCTTTTCCAAATTCTCCAGAAATTAAAATGATCATAGAAGGGGGTCAGTAACGTCCCATTTTGCTTGAGGGATTACTGACCTCTCCACATCCTGCCAAATAAACCCGTTTCCATAACATTTGGCGGTTCTTGCCACAGTGGCGAGGAAATCAGTAGTTTAGGCTGTACAGAACACGAATTGGGACGAAATAACGCCTGTCTGTGCTCTTCTACTGTCTGTCTTAGCAAGTGTATTTAATTGTTTCCTGCAGTGAACCTTTAAATGTTACGTCAGGCTTGTACAACGTATTGTTAAGTGTTTGTAGCTCTCCATAAGTAGCAGGACGTGTACCTTCTGCCAGCGCTCCTTCCTGAAGCTGTAAATACAGTAACTCATGTCATGAGATGGAACTGGGGGCATGACTTTGTTGCCTTTGTTTCCTCTCGTTTTCTATATTAGAAGAATTTTTAAATAAAGTTTAATTTTACTTCTTCTAGCAGTTTGTAGAATACTAATCCCTTTAGTAGATCTGCAGGCAGTCCTGCCTACAAAGGATGTATTTTATGTGGCAGCAGCGACTTACCTGGCGGTGGAAGGTGTGGGACGGGAGGGCAGGAAGCCGCAGGGGGGGATTGGGGATAGATCGCTGCCTGCAGCCGGGCTGAGGGCTCCTGCCTGCAACGGAGAACCAGAATTTCCTGCTGGAAACTGCCCACCTGCCTGCTCACCTTCATGCCGGAGATGGCCGAGGGCGGCTGGAACCCCGGCAGGTGTCTGGGATAAAACAAACTTGTGGATGGGTCAAACGCCTGGAATTTTTCTTACTTGGTCCAGGACAGAAGTGTTTTTCACTGCAGTTGTGCGCTCGAGAAGGATGGCGACTGTATTTGATCTTCACAAATGGGATCTGGTTTAAGGAAGATTGGGTTTTGTGTCTTTTATCCCCAAATTTTCTGGCCTGTATTTTTACATTTTGAGCTTAACTTTCAAAGAGAAAACAAAACCATGGAATTAATTTGTCTGGAAGTGAAATTTTGAAGAAACTGATAATTAAGCTGCAGACTGTCCCTTTCCAAACTGTCATCTGAGCTGCTATGCTGGTCCCTCGCATTTCACCATAGTTCTGCTCCCACAGGTTACCCACTAGATGAAAATTTTTACCTGAACAGCAGCTTCCTTTCTGTCCA